GATTGAGGGGATTAAGGGGCGGACGTTGACGGGGGAGATTGGGAGGCCGGAGGATGTGGCGGAGGGGTATCTGTGGGTTATGAAGGATGGGTTTGTGACGGGGAGTGTGGTGGAGTCGGATGGGGGGTTGGGGTGGAAGTAGGGTGTTGTATACTCTGGCTGTGGGACGGATGGTTGTATGTTTGTGGTTATGGAAGATGGTGGTAATGAATGAGCTTAATGTTGACACTGATGCTGATGAGGATGCTGATGCTTGTACTGAACGCTAAACAGTGATATCGTAACATGACCATGACCGACAATAACTCCAAAGACAGACGGCATCTCCATCAGCTATGAATCCGTCGGGGGACGATAGTTTCCTCCCGTGAACCTGAGAACAGTCAGTTCGCTGCATATCAAGAAGACGAAGATACATACCGACTCCACAGGAAACTAAACAGCCCCTGCGATTGATCCTGACTGCGCTTGGCCCAGCCATGGTCGACATTATAGTGCTTCACGTCTTGAAGACCGGCAAAGAGCCCCCGTCCGGCCGTTGGGTGCTGCACCCGTTAGTCCGCATGCCAATCAACGAGTACGTCCGAGTAAAGACTGCAAAGTACATACGCGACGTTCCGCACCAGAGCGAACCCAGAGATCAGCTCCATAGTCATTTTGGAGACGAGAGGAGGAAGATTCGGTCATTCTGCCACGACAAGTGCTTTCTGATTTGATTGATAAGGTTGTATGCGGCTGCTTCGCTGAGGTAGTTTCAGTGCGTCGCGAGGTCTCAGATTGATGTTGGATAGATCAGTGATGCTGAATATGGATGTAATATCCCAGCTTCACCCACCCACCACCCTCTTTATATCTTCGAGGCCTTTCAGCTCTCCAAAGGAAACCGATTGAACCATATTGAACCACATCAAGGCACCTGTGCTTCCGAATCACCTTACCTGACGCCGGAATCGAGATGTCGACGACTACCGACCGGTTCGTGAAGGTTCCTTAGGGTGAATACGGAGGCTGAAAAGCGGCATCCAACCAAAATCACATAAATCGCCAGGTCATTCCGGATTGAAATGGCGAGGGCATGATAGGATGGCGTGGTCTAGGAATCGTGGCGCGGTGAAATGAGGTGGTGTGGTCGCCGTGTAGGCAGGTGGCATGATCTTTGAACAGGTATGTCCTAGGTTTTGCTATGTACTCCGTAAAGTTGGCGTGCGGAAGTCATGAGTGGAAGTCATGATTCGGCTCATATATCGTGCTCGAGTTCCATATTTTTTTTTTTTTTAAACTTGGTTGGTTTGCGAGGTATAGATCCTGCTGTTGGTGTTGAGTATGTGGATTGAGCAGCAGAGATACAGTTCAGATGAGAAACTGTCGGAGATTTACGGGATAGCCTTTCCTTCTAGTCGAGATATATATAGACTTGGAAATGAAAGACACTGAAGAGGACTGTCCTGCTCCGTGAACAGCGGACATTGATGATGGGTCAAGTCATTGAAGTCAGACTCTACCAGTCGCCTTCATCGGGCCTCCACGAAGGTTCAAATCGTAGATCGATGTAACAGAAGAGACAACATTGACGAGGGGGCAGTCCAATGAATAGTATCATAACCATCAGTTACTGGACTGCAGAAAGGCGAAATTCCTGTGATGGAAAAGGAAGAAACAAAAAATAAAAAAGAAATCATGACCAGTGCCGGGCTCGATCCGGCGACCTTATCGGTGTTAACGATACGTGATAACCAACTACACCAACCGGCCATTGTTGGAAAATGTTGCTCTTTTTGTATATATCACCTAATACTCAAGTTCAGAGATCACTCCCTGTTGCCCTTACTCACACCTCCTCGTTGGGATTTAGGAAACATACATTACTATCATCATCTCGACCAGGCCATTGACAACACCCCTGAGTTCAGTGTCTTGCCTATCTAGGACTGGCCTTCTCACCGAAAAGGCTCTATTGAAACCATGTCTTAGACAACGGCCCTAAGCCCCCTAGTGGACGGTTTTGTCAACTTTGTGAATTTTGCCTCATGTCCAGACTACAGAAAGGAGTGATCCGTACTTAGCAGATAATGTGGAGTGGATAGTTCCCGAATAGCAACATACTAGTTCTCTGAGCGAAGCCACCGTTCAACGTCCAACAATAGTGCCAAGCGCCATCACCCCTGAGCAGTGAGCGCTTGAGTAGGCTCGTTGGTCGAGTCTTCAGGGGTAGCCGAAAAGAATCTGGGTGCTGAATTTCCGGGGATTCCACCCCACAGTCTCCAGAACTGTTGTGAACATACCGCTGCAGAGTCAGTCTGCATGGATGGCTGGGATGCTGGATTCCGAGTCAGGGGTTGTACTGGAGAGCACGAGGATTAAACACGATCACGATCGTGATATGAGATATCCCTTCTTCGAACGCTAGGTGATTGTGTACGTCCCGACCTGGATGACATTCAAGATCTAGTTTACTATTATTGGCGTCCAGCGAACGATGGGATTTGAATCATTTGATTTGCGAGCAGAAGGCCAGTCCTCGTACTCGGCTATCGTTTTAGCCGGAGCCAGCATCTGGACTTGATATATCATCATATACAATCTGAGATCTGTGCTACGGACACTGCTCCCTGTGTATGGGGACTATCAAGTACTGAATCTGGAATCTGGACGTCTTCAGTCCAAACGTTTCTTTGAAAGCGGAAAGTTCCCAGCGACTATGAGGATAGTGTATATTCCCCAAACGACAACAGGTTGAGAAGATGGAGATCGACTGGGTGCCTGAATAGCAATCGCGTTAAAGCGTCAATTACTCAACGATAGTACTCCGTAAAGTGAAATAGAAAACCATTTGGTTGATAACTGCAGGAGCTCATCCTCTTGTCCAAGGACAGTGCAGAGTTTCATCTATTCATGGGCGCAATTGATAATAATAATAATAATAACAGTAGTGGTTGGTAAAATCGGTGGCTGAGGTATCGATTCATCAGAACAAAAATAAATCCCTACAAACGAGTATCCTGACTTAAATTATGGTGGAACATCCGGAAATTAAAGCTGCCAGCAATCGCCAATTAAACTCAAGAATGCAGGGTTACAGACGATCCACTATACCTATCCGGGACTAGCACTTCATGGTAGTAGAGTTAAATCTCCACATGGCTGCATTAGCGGAGATGAGTGCCTTGCAGTGTTGCCGCTGGAACCAAGTTGCCTGAAGATGGACAACTCACTGTTTTTCCCTCCTGTTGAAAGTGCAAGATCAGATAGGATTGAAGATGAAGTCATCGGGCAGATGAGCTGTAATGCAAGATGAAATTACTCTGCTGGCATGCTTAGAAGGGAATACAGGAATAGTCAAATTACCGAGTCAGGATGACACTGCCACCAAAATGACAGTACGGAGTACAGTCACTGAACAGGCTGAAACAGTGGCAGTCAATATTAATATCATCTGTAGGTACGGAGTATCTAGTACCACGCACGAGTCTCATCCAGACCAGCCATTGCTATCCCTCAAAGTCCAAAGACCACCATCGAACATGGAGCAATGTTCTAGATGAATGGATCTTCAATTGGATGGAGCATAGTTACATGGAGACGAAAGAATAGTTGAATCTTGTCCTGGTAAAAAATCTGAATGACAAGGCGAAAGTCATTGTTTGACCTACGACCTCTGATCAACCCGGTCTAAGCCCAAACTTGACAATGAGCAAAGCGATGATTTGCCAGTTTCGACTCGAATTTCTTGCTGTTTTGACCTTTTGACCCACCCCTGACAAACTATCCGAGCCGTGCGGACTACCACTGGTCAACTTCCTCTGGGACGATCCCTGCAACGCCCCCCTATAGTTACCAATCAGCAGCATCTGGTGCCTGACTATGCTCAATTTAGTATGCCCAGCGTCTTGGACTAACATATCAGAGTACACCGCTGCTGCTGCTGCTGTGTTCACTAACGTGTCTCCGTAATTTTCCTCGAGTTCCCCCTTTTGGGGTGCTGGCCCTGGGCCCAGAACTAATGGCTCTCTCTCTCCGTCTGTCTCCAGGGGCCATCAAGTGGGCTTTTGCTTTTGTACCGCCCACTCGCCTCCCCCCTGCTCGCCTCTTTTCTCCCTCTCTTTTCCCTTCTTTTCCTCTTCTTCTCTCCTTTCGTGGGTTTCTATCTCGAACTTCCTCAAGTCTCTTCATCTCAAGATAGCACAAAGAGGCCACCGCGCCCCTCCTTTACAAGCGCTTCATTCACTACCGCTTCACTCGTTCAGCGGGCATTCCTTGAAATTTGAAACATCTTTACATTCTTATTCACCATGAAGGGTGCTATTCTGGCCACCGCGGCCGCCATCGCTGGCACCGCCATGGCCGATGTCGCTCACATGCGTCGTCACGGCCACGATTCTTTCCACCAGCGTCGTGCTCTCTCTCAGCCTGCGCCTGAGGCTGATGCTACCTGCGGCTGCACCACCGAGGTCGTCACTGTCTGGGGCTCCCCTACCCGTAAGTATCCTAAAGTCGCGACCGAAATCGGATCGGAGCCGGTGTTTGATATGACTCGCTGCTTGGTCGAGCTTCAGATCATATCAGGATATCGGGCTCTTTTCTATCTTTTTTAAAGCTCACTGCTAACATCAGTAGTGATCCCCATTGCCACGCCCACTCCCAGCACCGTCACTTCCGAGGCTGTCACCACTCTGCACTCGACCAGCTACAGCACCGTGACTGTTGTTGTCACTCCCTCCGGTGCTGCCGCAGAGAGCCAGTCCTCTTCGACCCCCGCCGCTGTTGTGACCCCCTCGACCTCTGCTACCCCTGAGGTCACTCTCCCCACTGCCGGCGTCACCAGCTTCTCCTCGACTGGTACCTACACCATCCCCGCCACCACTCTGACCGTCACCGAGTCGACCACCGTGTGCGGAGCTACCACCACCGAACTGCCCAGCGGTACTCACACCTACGGTGGTGTCACCACTGTGGTCGAGACCTCGACCACCGTTGTCTGCCCCTACGCCACCGTTGAGCCCTCCGGCTCCACCGTGACCAGCGTCATCAGAACCACCACCTACGTCTGCCCCTCCGCTGGCACCTACACCATTGCTCCCACCACCACCTACGTCCCTACCAGCACCGTCATTGTCTACCCCACCCCCGCCACCATCACTCCTGGTACCTACACTCAGCCTGAGCAGACTGTGACCGTCACCCGTACCGACTACACCTATGTCTGCCCCTTTACCGGCCAGGACGAGGCCACCTCTGCTCCTGTTGCCGCTAGCACCACTGCCGCTCCTGCCACCACCGCGATCCCTGCCACCACCGCGGTCCCTGCCACCACCACCGCGGTCCCCTCCACCAGCTCTGCTGCTCCCTCTAGCTCCAGCAGCGCTCCTGCCTCCACTGGTGCCGTCAGCGGCCAGATGGGTATGACCTACTCTCCTTACACCAACGCTGGCGGCTGCAAGGACAAGTCCTCCATCCTCTCCGAGGTCGCCAACCTCAAAGCCAAGGGTTTCTCCCACGTCCGTGTCTACTCGACCGACTGCAACAGCTTGGAGTACATTGGTGAGGCCGCCAAGACTTCTGGTCTCCAGATGATCCTTGGTGTCTTCATCAGCAGCACTGGTGTCTCCGGTGCTCAGGACCAGGTTACCGCCATCTCCAAGTGGGCCCAGTGGGAACTCGTCAGCCTGATCGTCGTCGGTAACGAGGCTATTCAGAACGGCTACTGCGATGCTTCCACCCTTGCTGGCTTCATCTCCTCCGCCAAGTCCTCCTTCCAGTCGGCCGGCTACACTGGCAAGGTCACCACCACTGAGCCCATCAACGTCTGGCAGGCCTCCGGCTCCACTCTGTGCGGCGCTGTCGACATCGTTGGTGCCAACATCCACCCCTTCTTCAACGCCGATGTCTCCGCCGACCAGGCCGGCAAGTTCGTTGCTCAGGAGATCGCTGTCCTTGAGGGCATCTGCTCTGGCAAGGAGGTCATCAACCTGGAGACCGGCTGGCCCCACGCTGGTAACGCCAACGGCAAGGCTATTCCCGGTGCCACCGAGCAGGCTACCGCCATCAAGGCCATTGCTCAGGAAGTCGGCTCCAAGTCTGTCTTCTTCTCCTACTTCGATGACCTGTGGAAGGAGCCCGGCGAGTTCGATGTCGAGCGCTACTGGGGTTGCATTGACAACTTCAATTAAGCGCAGGTTGAGCTTGCGTTTTGAGACCATCTAGGGAGGTTTGGAGTTATTCTCAATTTTCTGTCGGCCCGGGAAATATCCTTTCTTTTTTTTGTGTGTGTTCAACGACAGTTTCCACCTTATACCATTCTCAGTATACTTCCAAGTTCCCGTAGTAGATATAACTTTTTATTCACGTCTACTGCCTGGGCCGCATCGATCTGTTTTCTTTGTGTATTCTGTCTTGTATATGCAATTCCATACGGATTCTATGACTGTCCTTTTGACCCTAGTCCATTGTAACTGTAGCCGTGATCACTCATGCACATGCCTGTCATGTGACATACATGTATGTATGCAGTACCTAGATAGCATGGAATCATGGATTACTATCCTTTCCATCCACCACATTGCGTCCAAATGCCCTGATCCTGCTCCCTCCTCAGGTCCCGCGCTTCTCCACGCTCACCTAGGCGGTCTCATTCACCGCAGCGCTGATGATTACCTCACATTGCATTACCAAACAGTTCAGGCCTTGGGCATTCCAATCTTCGCAGTAGATTATTGACTAGCTCCAGAACACCCGTTCCCCGCCGCCGTGGAGATTTCTACGCCGCGTTGAAATGGGTCCACGAACATGCTGATGAGTGATGAGGTCGGTGTAGACAGGCTTCAGTGCCATTCCGGACCATCTCTGCTCAGTACCCGAATTTTCTTGGTTTCTTGTCCTATCCAGATACCTCCCACTACGCTTCGAGGAGAGGCAGATACCGGGACGCCCAGGCTTCGAATAACTTGAACAAGCCCACGATCTATAGATCTCATCTTCTCTTCAAGAAGCCCCTGGGTCTTGTTCTAGGAAGCTTGTTCCGGCTTCCCTCTCTCGCTAGCGCCATGATACGGTCAGCTGGCTCCATCGCTGTCGACCGCGTGTTCATGCTCTGGTACTCGGAATACTCGCTTCATCGTTCTGTAACTTCCCCCGCACCAGCGTGAAGAGCCGGGCAATAGGATTCAGAGTTTCGAACAGCAAGGGAACAAAACGTCTCATCACGGACGACAGTCCTTGCTGAAAAAGATCAGACAGCATAATGGCAACCGCTGTGGCCAGAGCAGCCGCCTGGTCTAGGTCGCCGAGTGAGGCAGATGAGCGCGGAAGGGGGATACCGAAATTCATATCCCAAGAGCTCATTGCACGCAGTTCCTCGAATTTGGACGGATGAGGTGTTAATACCATGGGCATACTTATCAGTTGAAAAACAGCGCTTAGCGTGAGGTGTGGCATGGATGGTAAAGGTAGGTTTTGGAAAAACCGGCCAGGAGAACACCGGCGTAGAATCAGTAATACAATCCACCATATAACCCAGGATATAGTGTATAGACTGGGAAACCCTGATGGTTGGTAAACAGAGAAGATACTGACGTTCGAACAGTTCTCATCTGTGTGTAGCGTGTGCGGCACCACAAGACTGCACAACTGCACACATGGACAGCCGCCCAGGCAGCAATCCGCCATGTAAACCAGCGATTGAATGGTCGATTCGATAAAAACGCAAAGGTGGACAAGGCGATGGAAATCTGGGCCACAGAGGCCACCGCCTGATCTTCAGCCCCCCACTCGTGCTTTTTGAAGGGGAAATGCCGTCTCAGCTGCACACAACATGCAATCAGGGGATATACCATTGCGGTACAGGCGGTAGTATCCAGTCGAGCCGGTAGGTCGGTAAGCCTTCTCCGATACTCCAAGAATTGGAGGCGATTGCGGAGATCAATGAGATGGATGATGAAGTCCGTGACGTTCATGTCAAACCAAGGGAACACAGTTGATATATCATCGAGCAGGCCATGATAGGCTTCAACAGTCCCTCCACGACACTCTAAACGGTACTCAATGAATCCGGGATGGTCGTTGGAATGACGCTTCGTGGTGCAAGGGAAAAAGTCCAGGATTTTTTCGGCCCGTTCACCCATGGCCTTTTCATTTTGACGCCGAACCTGCTGAGCATATTCGGGGGAAAGTCCCGGGGTCGCTATGAAGCTTCGATAGTCGGTGAATAGAGAATAGTAGTTGGCCTCGCCAGAAACGCTTGCACCACGAGCAATACTCCGAAGAAGCCGAACCAAGGGGTATGGCAGTTTCTGTATCTCATCCTCGTCCTTCCGTAGAAGGAGGAATAAGCAGTCTAGCATCTTCCTCAAGGCGGCAAGTTTTTCTGGCTTTATCCCATCCTCCTCAGGGGCTCCTTGGCCTTGGCAGCTGCTCTCGCTAGAGCTATTCGTCCTATCTTCCCACGGGTGTGGCAGATCAATAATGCCCCTTTCCCCTAGACCTTCAAAAGGGTCCGACCATATCCGTCTTAGCAGAATCCGACCCTCAGCAGGGCCGAAGGCCATCACACATGTAATGATCCATGCCCAGAATGCCCCCGGGCCATAATAGCCAGAGACTGTTGAGTGATCATGGATGTGTGTTGCGTCGAAACGGAGTAGCAGGATGAAAAAGGTGACTAGTGAACACTGAAAGAAGAGTACAGGTTCTCTGGGTTGCAAACGCGATCGCAGGCGAGGTGGAAGAATCTTCAGCCCTATCGACGCTATTCGCCAGAAAACGGCTTTGGTGGCTATCAAAAACCGAATGATGATGGGCCGTCGGTCACCCGGGGATAAAAATGAACTCAAATAGACCGGGAGGACGTTGGACCACAGGGCCCGTATCCGTCGTAGACTCGGGAACTGCATGATTTTCGTACCATTGCTTCAGAGATACTCATGACCTGCCTCTGGTGAGCTCTATAAACATCGCAGGGATGGGATTTAGGGTTGAGTGCTCGGCCACAATCGTGAGAGCTGGCGATACCCATGACATCACTGGACACTACGCCACTGAGTCCACAGACTGAGCCCTGTAGAGTGTGCATCAGGGGGAGGAAGTGGCGGTGATCTAGAAATGATACATAACCTTGGATATGGGCAATGGAATGCTCAGCAGTTGACTGGAGCCAAGTAAGTAGAGGTCTAGATGCTGCAAGAACCAAATAACGCGTGAGGAAGAAGCAGTACAAAGGAGCTGAAACCAGGCGTGTAGTTACACAGAAAGTGATCCATCCAATGTGGATATGTCAATTTGGCGCCAGTCACGACACAACAGATGAACGGCTAGAAGGTCTTAGTATGGAGAGCGAAGACTCCGCACCATGGTTCCCATTCCTCTATCTTATCATCCAGCTGTACTCCGCACTCGTAAACAAACACAAAAGTAACAGCCGGAGGTCACTGGGCATTATCAACAAGATTAATCTACTAAGTACAAGACGTCAGGAGCCCTGTCCGCCCTCCGGCCGCCATCGATCGCCTCGAACACTCTGCCCCTCTGCCCCTCTGCCCATCCATGGGTACCGGTATCCGGCTTCTGACGCGACGACTGGCGAAACACAGCACAGCCGCACCCCAGCTTATCCTTCACGGTCACACACTTCCCGTTTCCGCATCCGTAGCAGATTAATGACGACGAGGCTGTCGGCAAACCGGTTGCTGGTTCCATCAGCTTCAGCCACTGTCGACGTAGAGAGTCAGAGGGACGTGACTTACCGCGCCCGGGGCACAGACGAGAGGGACACAGCAGTCGTAGGCGTTCACGGTCGCGTTACCGCAGGGGAAGCCGACCTATTATTCGTTGAGTCGGTTAGCTTAGCTTGCGCAGCGGGGTTGGCAGTCCCAAGCTCTTTTGTCGAGAGCGAGAGCGTGAGGGAGAGGGTTTGAGGTGACTTACGCCCGAGCAGGACTTCTCGGCGGAAGGCAGCGCCACGGCGACGGAGAGGAGGAGGGCGAGCGAGACGAGACGCATCGTGGGATTTTTGAAAATGGGGTATTGATTTGATTTCGGAGGACTCTGTACACTGCACTGAAAGCGTCGATGATTAGGCAGTTTGATAAGGCGTGGATGAGAGTGGTTGTGGTGGAATCTGTGTTGCGTGACTTGTCAGATTCTCATCCCTTGATGAACCTTCTTTTTTTCTGCTTTCACTTTCACTTTTACCAAGGTGATTCAATTATCTTGCGCCCCTTCGTAAGTGCTACCTCGCAGGCTAGAAGGCTGTGAAGGAGGCAGGAAGGAGTATCATTATGACATAGTGTAATAGCACATGGTCAACGTACGTACCTGAACCGAATCCGATCGACGCACGAGTCTACAAAACACTCTACAGTGGTCCTCTGGAAGTAGAGTCAAGATGGAAACGTGGGAGGCTGAGCAGCAGGTTATGTACTCTGTGACACCGCAACAAAGAGCCGAATGGAAATCAGGAGGTCGGGTCGGTGCGACAAAGAGCGTGCCTACCTTACGGGGGAGTCTCAGAGGACTGGAGGAGCAAGTCTGGGCCGTCTCTGTCTCTCACCCTGTGCTCCATATTTTTGGACGCGATGCAGCGACCTGAAACACAATCGGCGGGATCAGCTGTTGCGCTGTTGATCAGTGATCACTGATCTGCAGCACGGAGTCCGTACACCTTGTTATTGGTCGCTGGAGGCTGGTGGTGGGTATTGTGTGCTACCCTCTGCTGGAGTGGGGAGCTGTCGATGGTATGAGATGGATACTGGGTTCTCCATGCCGAGGGCGATTTGCAGGAGTATGTCAGGGGAGAATGATCCCGCCTGGAGGTTGGATTGATATGTTATTCCATGGCTGGTTGTCCTACCTTACTCGTATGTACTGAGTAGACTAGCTGCAGGCTGTCCATAAATGGATGGTAATAGTCAAGGATCATAATGCCGAGCATGATTCTGAGAACTCAGTATACTCGTCGATCCTGTTGGCGAATACCCACAGCATGCATTTATTCTAATGTAGGTACAATGACGAAAGGGGGTAACAGCGCCTCGATGTATCCGGGAGGATTTGACTCGCTCTCCATAATGATAGGTAGCCTTGAACATGCTGCATGTGAATGTTTGATTCTACGGTGATAAGAGTAGCCGGATTGATACATCGGTTGTAGCTGAGCTGAATGGCACAGATAATATACCTGATGGATCAAAGCTACGTAAGCTTGGAATTCGACTTGAATCGACTATGTGGTGCTGCGTTGTTGAGCTAGACCGATGCAAGATGGCTCGTATAGCATGACCGTCGGTGGTTGATGCATCATCGAAGAGACACGCCATGATCATACCGGGGACGACAGAGAGCGTACTCGCAAGATCCCTCAACAGGTCCATCATGGCATCACAGCAGGTACTTGTGCTGGTTAAGGGACGGTTGCTCTAGAAGAAACTGGACAATGGGCAGAGTGATATCCCTCCCTCATCAATTGACTGCACCCAACACTCCAGCTCGTTACCTACACACGTATAGCTCCTAAGAGAATAGTGTTTTGACAGTCCCCAAACTAACATCGAATTTCTCTGATTCCTCTTTGACAAATATTTCAAAGACCCCAGATTTATGACTCGTTGAATGGCTCAACCAAAGTAATCAGGAAGCATCATCGCAATGGTTCAAACGCCCAATGAAGCCCGCTAATGAACTGTACAGCTTGCCATACGCCGAAAAATCAAGCATCAGCGATGGATGAGAGAAGTAAAGAGATTTGTTGCAACAAAATGCTTGCAAGGGATATGGAATGATGGAGGGCTCATCCTCTACTGAGAAGTCTCAAGGATGGATCGTGATACATGAATAATCAATGACTGATAGGATGCATTCCATAAGTGGCTGCCGTCTTTGAAAAAAGTTGAAGAGAAAACAGGAGGAAAATCCCCACATCAGCTGTATGGAGGTGGACTGGACGCCCCATAGCCCTTGACGGAACCTCAGGCGGCAGTCGAGGTCGAAGAAATGTGTACGTAGAATCTGCATTATGTATTAATCTCATAGAGATATGGAGCATATAGACAATTGAAAATCGAGCGATGGATAAGGTTGTCGTGAATATCGATCGTCATGCTTTTTAGAAAATGGTGAACCGTTTGGATTTCCCAGACTTTCCGGCATCTGTTCCGTGGATTAGCTCGAGGCAGCACAAATGACCGTTGAACGCACCTAAAGGCTTCCGATTCTCCTTTTGCCCTTCCTTTCCATTCCGCGCAGGGGTCCTGCCGTCGGCAGCAGCTCGAATGGTTGCGATGCGATGCTTTGCGCGTTCGTCGCCCTGATCCGCCGCTCTCACATACCAGACGTTGGCCTCTAACGGGTCACGACGGCAGCCAATGCCCATCTCTGTGAAGTATCCGACAGCATATTGCGCTTTGGCCAGTCCTATGTAGAAAATTAGCACATAACCGGTCAAGTTCATATGCCGCACATACCAAGTTCTGCAGCTCGCTTGGCCCACTCATAGGCCTCGCCTTCGTCCTTCTCCAGAACAGGCTCCGCGCCTACCAGGTACCAAGCGCACAAGGCCATCATCGCCAAGACATGCCCGCTTTGTGCGGCATTGGTATAGAAGTGGATGCTCAATGCAGGGTCTCGAGGACAGTCCAACTTGCCATGCTCATACGCATCCCCGAGGCGATAGCTGGCCTCGGCATGGCCCAGATCCGCCGATTTGGTAAACAGCTGAGCTGCGTAGGCCGGATCAGGAAAGACATCATCGCCGAATCCCGTCTCGTGTAGGAGGCCGAGTTCGTACGGCGCAGAGTTGTACTGGGCGTCGGATGATTCCGCCGCTCGCTTCAACCATTTGATGCCCTCCCGATACCGTTTGCCCAGGCCCATGTCACCCGCCAGACAGGCCTTGGCCATGCGCAGCATAGCCCCAGGATGATTCTTGGAGGCAGCTTGGCGGTAGAATTGATGTGCTCTGGCCGCTTCCACCCTGGTCCCCCACCCGAATTCATAACACAGGGCGGCACGGTAGCAGGCCTCGACGTGACCATGTTTGCTCGCCGCCACGAACAGGGGGAACGCTCGGTCATAGTCTTCCTTGCCCTTGCTGAAGAGTCCGGATGCATATCCATCCGCCAAGTAGTACTGCGCGAAGGGATAGCTGCGGTCGGCCAGACGTTGAAAGATTGACTTGGCTTCCTTGAGGAGACTTTCCCGAGTGATTTCCGCTGCTTTCCTACCATACACTGCATTCTTGCGTGCTTCATGATCGTCCGGCGGCATTTCCAGCATCGCGTTGACCATGAACACGGCAAACTCATATTGTACCGCAGGGTCGTCCGTTTTCTTCACATTTGCGAGATACATATCGAAGGTCTGTTTGTGACTGAGCAAGGAGGCATTGTTGCCCACCCAGGATTTAAGATGGGAGTTGTCCAGTTGCGCAGGGGCCGGACCTGGCTGAGGATAGGAGGTGTTGAGGAGATCGACAAAAGAAAGTGGACGGACATCGGGGGAAGAGGAATCTCTCGGTGAAGCGCGTGCGTGAAGGTAGGGAGAAGCACCGGGTGACAAGTTTCGACCATCGCCGCCCATTTCCGAGACGAACGAGTATGTTGAGTTTGGCCGTGGTATACCGTGCCGTCTAGCTGAGAGGTGACCGTTCGAGCCGGACAGATTCTCCGCCGATCCGGCACCAGACGGCGACTTGAGTGCGACCTTGGAGTTACGATAAGGTTGGTGATGATAGTGCAAGGGCTCGAAGTTCTCGGGGCGAGCCTCACTTTCCAAGCTGCCCCGAGAGGAATTGTTCTGGCTACCACTAGGAACTGCAGGGTCTGAAGACGAGGCATTAGGCTGGATAGAACCATTCGTTTCATCTTTGAGCTGGTTGTCTATGACAGACCAGGAACCGCTGCTAGCCGGCGTATGTCCGGCTCTCCTCGACCCTGGGGCTGGTGGAGGGGCGTGAGAGTCTCGGCGTGGTGGAAATGCTCCATTGCTGTTCTGGTGATACTGCGATTGATCCCCAAGCGACATATTAGCTAGAGCAGTGGTGGGAATAGGATCCTCGAGTTGACCGTTGCGAGTATTCTCAAGGACCATGTTGGACGATTGCGGCAGATTCACGTCCTCGTGAATATGGACCGGCGGAACTGGAGCATATTCATTTTCGGACCTAGAGCCGGGCAAGGCCTTCCGTGTAATGTGTTGTGTGGCGCGCTGTTGGGGTATCGACCTGGGAGTCGATTGACTCTGAGACGGCGAAAGCGGGGGAGATGATCGAAGATAGACCGGGGGAGGGGACGATATAGGTTGAGGGTATTCGCCTGCTACCGGGCTTGCCATTTTCCCTGAGAGATAGCTTATGGGGCGCCAACGACTGGAGACAGGATTCCTGTATTGCCGTCAATGGCCAGGTATCCGATTCAAAGACTGTCGATATGACCTGGAGCGAGGGTGATTGAAGATGGAGGGGGCTTAGAGATCCGACGACATCGAGACTTGGACAAGCGAATGTGCAGCAGTCGGGAAAGAGGGTCGGAGTTGCGATTGCGTACAATATGGTGCAAACTGCAGTGGTAGCGACCGAGTGAAGAACTGAAGTTATGTACTGTGTGACTGGGGGATGAAACCAGGATCGTGGAGAAGCAGAGGGTCAACTGGAGGGGAGTCGGGGTTGGGTCCACCGTCTCGCGGTAGTAGTAGTAGTAAGTACTCCGTACCTGTCAACAGTAGGGAGAGGCAGTTGGGTACAAGTTGAGATGGTCGGATTTCGGTATATTTGTCTCAGGGGATAGGATGCAGCAGAGATGAGATGAAGATACAAATCTGAAGAGTGTAGACTAGAGCTGAAGCCAGAAAGCCAAGTAAAAATCTCAATTGCCTGACTGAGCGAGGGAGCCTCTACTTTTTTGGAGAAGGGGAGACGCTCGGAGAGATGCACCAAGTGGGCGAATATGAAGAGTCTAACTCCATAAATGTTAGCTGCTGCTTTGTACCGGTACCGCTCTGTATCGATC